GAACACTTACTACGATAGCTGGATTGTTCAGCTTCATTTATCCACTGCCATGTTCCGTTAATTTTTGTCAGTCCAATCCACTTGTCGTCGCCACTGTCTATATTTCCGATAAATTCGTTTTCCTCATTCGATGATATCGACACTAAAGTCGAACTCTTAGAGGTACACCAGTTATGTGAATCAATCAAGGAAAGACTCTGGTTACTAAATTTATAACAATTTTTCTCAAAGGAATACCACCCATCTGCACATGTAGCTGAAAACATAAATGGATACAAATACCATTACCATGTTTGTAGACCTAAAGTGTCTCTTTTTAAGACCATGATATGCTCATTCAACTTAAACTCATTTGAGATACTTTATTAAATGTGAAAAACATGCGTAATTTTGAACACAAGTAGTTAATAAGCAAAAACATCATATGGCACTTTCATTGTATAATATACAGTAATTATATCATAAGGAATGTACAAAGGGTCTTACAATAACCGTAAAAGCACTTTGATACAATTAATTTACGAATCGTTGCTTACGATAGCAAAACTAATGAGATAATTGATTGAATTTTTTTTATTTATTTAGGCACGCAATATATATGCCAAGGATTGTCAAGAACGAATATATCACTATCCTACTTGTAGGTGACAATCCATTACGCAAGTCAAACACACACACGATGCTTTTCACAAACTAAATCTCAATATGAGATTTAGGGAGTGCAGTAGTTTTGTCATGGGAAAAAATCCTGCAACTGACAGGAATTGAACCCAGGACCGTGGGATTGGAAGGCAAGCATCTTAACCACCAAGCTATTCAACTCCACTCTAATAATAATAATTGATCTGTTATTAATACTTATTTAGCGTCTAATATTTAAAAGAATAGTTTTGCGTGAGAGAATGAAACATGATAATTACAGCTGGGTAATTAACAGGACTTACTTGACGACAAGGCTATGGAGATTGACAGTAAACAAAGTACAAATGGAAACGTCTTGTGTAGGTAGGCATGCTTATTCTAGGGAAAGAGTAATAGCGATATGATGATAATTAATATTCCAAATGTAATAAACAACAAAGCTATGCGACATTGTGTGTCAAAAGTTGGTTATGAAGATGATTTTCTTCACATCACGATGTTACTGGATTAAAATCACAAGTCTCAATCTCGGCTTTCTTCACACACATAACAACAACACAACAAACATTCAATTGATGCATTATGTAACTTAAAATTACACTTAAACGGAAATAATAAGGTTCAATATACAACATAACACACAAAGTCCTGAGTTATAACTATAGCCATGGCTTTTTAAAATAAAAAACCCTAATCAGATCCTCAGTCGAGACAATGTTGTAAATGGTATATACCTAGCATACACATAGGATTGATAATTTTTAAAGCACAAGTTGAATAAATTGATCTCCTTACAAATAATATTTTTGTTGATTTTTCCTTATTAAACTTCATTTTATTTATATTTTTAAGTGCGTTGTCAACACACGAAACGTTGGGTGAGTCTTAACGTTTTAAATAAATCCTTCACAATAAAGAAAAAAATATCAACTAAAATAATAATAATAATAATAATAATAATAATAATAATAATAATAATAATAATAATACAGTAATAATAATAATAATAATAATAATGGTCTACGCCATATATTCAATTCCCATTCCACACACATTCAATCAAACCATTGAACTACACATTTTCAAGCATTTATAATTTACAAGTGATTAACTTTCATTAAAAACACAAGTTAGTTTTTATACTTTTTGCTACGATAATTTAAATGGTTTGAAAGACAACGGCTGAAGTTACAACATGACCAATAATTAAAAATTTAATAACGGTTTAACTATTTAATGTTTTATTATTTGAATTATTATTATTAGTTCAGCACCACAAACAGTATGTATAAGTTCTACTGTTTTCTCTACTCTCTCCGTTCCACGCGCCTCAGGATATTGGTTAAGTAACAATTATTGTTGTGTCTTCTTAATAATGTAATAATAATAATAATAATAATAATAATAATAATAATAATAATAATAATAATAAAATAATAATAATAATAATGCTCTTATTTGACACGTTTTTCAAATATAGAATATTGTAATCTCAATTTTGTTCTGTTTTATATAGTAAATTATTTATCTTCTATAAATCAGATTATTTTAAATTTTTCTATTTATGTTAGTTTACTTAATTATCTTCTCGGTAATTCTTTTGATTAATTTGTTATTTCAATTATTTTTCTGTCTTATGTGTCAATTTTATTTTTTTCCCTTTTTGTTTTTTCTTGCTTTAATGTTTTCCTTAAATCATTATTTTATATATGTATATACTGTAGGCCTATATATGCTTTTTCTGATTAATTTTTATACTTCTATTCTTATTGTATGTACTGAGGGTCCCAGTTGATCAGCTCAGGCTGGATGGACCACCCTCACAAAATATTGTTGAAATAAAAAAAATAAAATAAAATTATCGCCGTCATAGCATAGGTGCCACATATAGAGACCACGTATTTATTATGCACTGTATCCAACCAACCACTGCCATCATCACCATCATCGTTATCACCGTCCTATCATCATCATCGTCATCATCACATCGAATAGACCCCGTATTTTAAGGGGTTTATAAGGGGTCGTTTAACATTATCAACATTTTCACAAGTGTACAAAAAGTACTCTGTGGGGGGGGGGAGGGGTACACAAATTTGTACACTTTTACATGCATGAAAGTGTTGATTCTAATTAACATGCAATATTTTTATTTTATTTTATTTTAATTCACATTCGACAGCGGGGAGCCCGCCACTTACAGAATGGAATACATAAAACACAATAAACACCGTACGGAAAACATCATGAACACTTATACAAGACATTTCTTATTTTACACTTAAAAATATTCAAACTATTAAAAAACATACCAATTGTCGGATCTAACAGAATAAGTGAGTTAAAAATTCTAGATAATCTACAAATAAATCCGTTTTTAAAAATATTGGTTCGGGAAAATGGAATATGGAATAAGTTGACCGAGGCTTGACGAGAACTTTACTTTTAACAGAAAAACCAAATAAAGAAAGAAGGTGAGGACCAACTAATCCCTTCATGCATTTAAAAAGAAATATACAGTCCAAGTAACTCCTACGTTGACTTAAGCTGGGTAAGTTAATAGTATTACGATTGACATTACACGATTTACAAACAAATTTCAAAAATCTCTGTTGCACAATTTCTAATTTTTGAGCTTGACTTTTACATAATCCATTAAACATAATAGTACCATTTTCTAATTGAGGCCTAACCAAAGACGTATAAAGACAAATCAATGTTTTAGGGTTCCTTAATTTCCAGCAATTCCGTTTAACGAGGCCCAACATTCTATTACCTTTACTACTAATGTATTTGATATGGCGATTAAAATTCAATTTATTATCAAGAACAACAACCAGATCTTTGTGAAATTCGACATTATCGAGTGCATGGTTGTTTATACTGTATGGGAATATAATATTAGTTTTTTTAATGCTAATGTTTAAAATTTTACATTTTTTTTTCACTAATAACCATACCCCATGTTTCACACCACTTACAGAAAGCATCAAGATCTTTCTGTAACTGATGGGAATCTTCAAGAGTGTTGATTTGTCGAATGAGCTTCAAGTCATCGGCATACATTAAGGATTGTGAGCTTAGATTTAACGGGAGATCGTTTATTAATAGGTTAAAAAGTAGAGGGCCTAAGATTGTTCCTTATGGAACTCCAGATTTAACGGGGAGCCAGGTAAAAAAAGCTCCTTCCAAAGTTACCCGTTGCTCATATGTAAAATAATGGTAAAATTATAATGTAACCATGGATATAATATTCATTTTTAAGCAACCAAGTACATCATCATTATAATTATTACGATTGACATTACACGATTTACAAACAAATCTCAACAATCTCTGTTGCACATTTTATAATTTTTGAGCTTGACTTTTACATAATCCATTAAACATAATAGTACCATTTTCTAATTGAGGCCTAACCAAAGACGTATAAAGACAAATCAATGTTTTAGGATTCCTTAATTTCCAGCAATTCCGTTTAACGAGGCCCAACATTCTATTACCTTTACTTCTAATGTATTTGATATGGCGATTAAAATTTTATTATCAAGAACAACAACCAGATCTTTGTGAAATTCGACATTATCGAGTGCATGGTTGTTTATACTGTATGGGAATATAATATTAGTTTTTTTAATGCTAATGTTCAAAATTATAATGTAACCATGGATATAATATTCATTTTTAAACAACAAGTACATCATCATTATAATTATTTCATATTTTTTCTTGGCAACCAGGTAACGTAAACAAAGGTTCCGCGGTAGGACCTCTGGACCCCTGTAAAACTAACCATATTCTCACTTTTTCCCCTTCACCCTTTAACAAAAATGTTGAATCTCACTTGAATCTTAGAGCTCTGTTAGGCAGACCTTTGTCGTTATCAAATGGTAGATGTGTTCATTGAGGTAACTTATTTATTTATTTATTTACAAACATATTTTATATGGATAACATTTTCATAAAAAAAATATGTTCTAACAAATGGTCCATGAATTAAATATAAAGCAAACAATTACAAATAACAAGAAATATTTTTGGAATTTTTTTCAATGTTTGAATGAATTTAAACAAATTTTAAATACATTATAATTGAATTTGAAAATACATAGAAAATATAATTATTTTACGGAAAGTATGGTTTTTATTTTAAATTTTAATATGTTTATACATACTTTAATTAATAAAAGGACATATATCATAATAATTAGAGTTGATTAAACATATAATATCATTATTTTACCTTAAGTACGATTTTATTCCGAATTTAAATATGAGTATTACAGAAAAACAATATAATTTATGAAAGAACTATAGGGCCTACGTATAAATAATGCCATTTTAATTAAATTTGGCCTTGTATTTAAATTTGAACGTGTTGTAAAAGGTTTAAATTACATGGTCTTTCTGCCATAAAGTAACCAAAAATTGACTAAAATCAAAGAGCAAACGGTATAAGGCAAACAAAAAAACAAAAACAAAAACAAAAAACTAATTCATTGATAAGTAATTTATTAATGCTTCAGGTCGAAATTTGCAAGTATGTGAAATTAAAATTGTACCAGCGGTATGTTATTCGAACCTCTACGGTATTTATTTTAAAATATAATGCATAGCATACTGCACCATATTCATAACACATACGCCTATTTTATTTAAGTTCAGATTCTTATTATTCTCAATACCTTGCACGTTTTGTCTACACAATAGTCACTGTTATTAATTGTATCATAATGTATTTGTGTTTATTCATAAAGAAATAAAGCAGCTCGATTCATCTATGTATGGCACTGATAAGAACTACAATGTTGAACAATTTATATTTTTCGCAATCCATACAGTTGTCTTTTTCACATTATTTAAAATAGGCGTACGCATTGTGATTTCGTCATTATTTTGAGTCATGCTACTACTTTATAATTTTCACAACTCAGCCCCAACCATGTTAGGGGCTGAGGTGGGTACAGACTCTATCCCCGTGCCAACTTTAAATCTTGTGGCTGAGGGATAGTGGCTTTATCAGGTTGCCAGCATCTATTTCCGAACATTTAGAGGTGCCAACAAGTTGTTCACCACCCACGGTGGGGCTGGGGTGGATATGATCTGAGACCCCACTAGATTTAAAATCCTGTATCACACTTTTTTAAGCGTCCACCCCCCCCCCCCCCAACCAAAAGCAAAACAAAACAAAACAAAAAACAAAACAAAAAATCACCAGCCTCCGGTCTTATTACTATAATGACTGGACCACTTGTAAAATGCTTCCAACGGCTACAGTTGTCCACTGGAGGATGTGGGGCTGCTGCAGAATTAAACTTCTTATTATACTTTTGTTTAATTAACTATTATTTTAACCACATAAAAATTCAAACCTTACACAAATCGTGATTTCGATTGTAACCGAAGCGAACCCACGACCGTCAAATTTACTAGAGCTTTGCTGGTGCACCGCCACAACTCAAATCGTAGCGTCTAATGCAATAACCTAAATTTTGTACAATGTGTTTATAAAAACAAATGACACTATATTTAACTAAATAAGACAATTAACGATAAAAAAAAAAGTACCTACCTTGATTATCAACATACCAACTATCTTGAAGGTCCCTATCATGCAGTGTGTGTGTATAATAGTTGATGTGACCATATGACAATTATTCAGATGCAAGTCTGATTGGAAATGCAGTGCGTTACTGTACACAATCCGATCGGATGTGACGACAATCAATGTTCAAATCATATTGGTCTGTGTATCAAGTAAAATATTCATTAATAGCAGGGCGGATCCAGAGATGTTCGAAAGGGGGCTAAAACGGTAGGGGTTGGGCTGATCGAAGGACAACACTAGCCCGGAAAATTTTTGTTTTCTAGGCGTCCAGAAGTAACCTCTGAGTTTTTCTTTTTTTGTTTTTACTAAAGGGGGAGGGGTTGGTGTGGGGCAGAGGCCGTCTCGCACTACCCCACCCTCTAAATCCTCTCTTGAAAAATGAAGTTTTATTAAAGGAAAAACTTGTTGCCTATCAGTTAATGCGTTGTAAGTTATGCACTTTGTTAGTAGCTAATAACATTTTAGTGCAGGGTGGTATTTGTTCCTTTGGCCATATCCATCCTACATGTTCCAACGGAGAGTAAATTCTTTTCTTTAATCCAATCATGGAGGAATTGAAACCCCTATTTTATTCATCCATGGTTGTCCTCACACTCACGAAGAACTATAATTTTCAAAGTGCTATACAGAAAAACAATGTCAGACATACACATTTCTGTATAATGACATTTATTATACAAACAAGATCCCAAACACGAAAACCACTGAGCAATACTACTTCAATTAAAATAACAGAACATAAATTATAATAAATAATTGTAAACACTTAATTTACAAAATAGAATGATCACAACAATATTCAAGATTCATTTTACTGTGTCTACTTGGAAATAGAACGATCATATGTCAGTTATTCAGGCTGTTTTCTCTTTACGCATTGCTTGTCTATCCTATTGTCTGGTCTATCCTATTGTTTAAAGAAGCATTCGTACAGTAGACCACACCCTTTGCTTAACAATGGGCTCAGAGCTTCAAATGAGCTTTCTTTGTTTTTGTAGGTATCTTTGATCAGTAGAGTAAGAATGCTTTGATCTTTTGTTTAAATCACTGCTATGTCACCTACTAGAGGTAATGTTTTGATTGGTTAAACACTTTTTGGTACTAGTGCATATAAGCTTGCTAATATGGATAAATTTTCATTCCTGATGACATAATTAATGTCGAAGTATTGAATCCCAACACGATGGCGTGTATTTCAATACTTGGAGTATGTATTATACTTTGTTGTAATTACGTTGTTGTAAGACGTAATTACATGCATAAAGGCAAGAACATTCTGGATGACTGAGAAAAATATGCACCTGTCAATCTTAAAAGATACAGTGCACCTCTATTCATTACGAAAATGCAGCGTACACAAATGAGGTTGCTGCTTTACTAAGTACTACTATTACACCATAATAAACCAAAATTATAAATCGTCTGCTTCAAATCAATTTTATCATGGACTGAACATAAAACAAGGATCCCAGTATATAACAGACACATTAGGTACTCACCGTTCACATATAAAATGTGTAGGTCTATATTAATCATAATTAAACCCATGTTCTACCAAGCGACATACTTCGCCTATTCGTCTGATTCATTTCGATCCTCTTCATCAACCGTGTTTTCAAATGCAGGGCTTTTGAATGCATTAGTTGATGTGAATTTCTTTTTTTTCTGCTCTTTTGGAGTTGATCTTAACGAATCGTTTGCAGTTTTGCTGTGTAATGTACTACGTGTAAGACTAAACTCGTACGAGGATTTCGCTTTGCTGATGCCTAGCAAATTCTTCCAAGCTTGTTTGCATTCTTTTTGTCTTAAACAGAAAAGGTAGAAGATGGCGACGCCTTGAAACGAGTTAAAAACACAGAACAGAATGAGAAACACAATGTCAGCGGCGTTTTCGAAAGACAAAAATCCGAAGATCCAAGTGAGGCCAAGCAGCAGAGAAATGGCGATGGCGTTTACCAAACGTTTCTTCTTCTCTTTTTTATCAAGTGGTCCATTCATCATTGAGCTTGAGAAGAATACCTTTTTGATGATGAGTACGAATATGACAAAGTTGCAGAGGATGACAACTCCAATTGGGATAATGATAGCGTAAATGAACACCTCCACTTCGGTAGCACTGAGGTAACAACTGAAAAATACAAATTTTATATTTTATTATATTATTCGTCTAATAAATAACAGCAAAGAAATCGCGACTATTCAAATCTTAAAACATGTACAGCATATCATATCAGAAACAGTATGGCTATTAATGGGAAATAAAAGATGAGGACATCTATGGGATAAAAAAAAAAATACATTACTTGAACTGCATGGATGCGCGGGTATTGATTTCGAGAATTAGAAGTCAATGTTGATGCTTAATTATAATGAACTGAAGTATTTTCAAAACTCAAAATACAAGGAAAATTTATCTCTAATCCCTTACTGTTTATTGCCAATCTGTTTTGCTAATGAGCTTCAATACCCTCGGTGTTTTATAACCGTATTGAACTTTTTTAAGATGAACATAGAAAGTTGCTCTTAGCTAAACAATATATATATAATATATTATATAATATATAATATAAATCATCAAAGGTACATATACAGTGTTTAAATAAGGACATGATGGAACATCGTAGGCTACCCTGTAGCTTTTCAACGAATAAAGTCCAATAAAAGTCATTGTGTAATAAAATGCCTCCGACGGCTACCGTCATAACCATTAGACCACGAAGGCTTCATGGTTGAACAGGTCCAAATAACTTTTATAGCCCGGTAAAAATGACTCCCGTGAGGATGGCCCGGTAAAAATGGCCCCAAATGACAGGTAGGTAAAAATGGCCCCAATGATAAAATTCAGCATATTTTAAAACTAAAATAACTTTTAAAGAATATACCGGTAATGTCAAATAAGTTGCCATTTATAATACTTTTTGCAGGAATAATTAAAAATAAATGAATAAAATATTCCATAGATTAAAATAATAAGTAATAAATAAACTGTAATCATCACAATTATACTGTAAAGTGCTAGTTGCCACTGTATTCTGTTAAATATTTGTTTTATAGTTTAGGTATTATAATGTATTGTTTGGGCCGCATGCCTATGATAAATACAGTAACTTATTTTAAGAAGAAGTCAGGTCTTAATTATGTGAACGTTTTTTATGTTTATTTTCATCATAATAATACATTCTAGTAAACTGCCGCTAAAAAAATCAATTATTTTTTTCATAACCATACTAAATAATGAAAACTGAGATATGCTAAAATTTTCTATATTTATGTAAATATGGAAATTATTATAAGAATTAAAATGGCATGTAAATAATATGAGGGTAAAGTATTATGGTAGGGTTAAAGGGTATTGCTTAACGACACAAACCTCCCAAAAATACACTGTAGAAAACCAAACTATGTAACTGTGATTGACTCACTTTATATATCAATAAGAAAATTAAATAAAAGAACCTATTTTTTGTGTGAAAAATACCTGAAAATACACCGCAAACCTCCAAAAACACACCGTGAACCCCATCCAAACCCTTTAGTTATGATTGTAGGACTCTCTTTTCATCATTATTTTCGGGCGTCTAGAACACAAAATTTCATGGGGGAATGCCCCCGGAACCCCTAGGACAGTGTTGTCTCGATCGGCCCAACTTTCGCCTCCCTCACCCACCTTTTGGACATCTCTGGATCCGCCCCTGTTTCCGTAATTGACAAAAGGAAAACATTTAAAAAAAACCCCTAGGATAACATTCTTAAAGTAAATGAGAAGAGAGGGGACAGAGCCAAAACAGAGTAGGCCTACAAAGGAAAGAAGACAGAAGAGAAAAGAAACACGAGACAAAACATTTCAGACAAGAAGAAAAGACAAATATCTAAAATTATTGCAAAGTACCAGAGTATAGAATTACAAGATGTCCGGCCGACTGCCCAGAATTTGAATGCACGCAATGAAACGATAAAAAAATTACTATTGTGATATAGGGGCGCCCTATAGAATTCGGAATTCGAATAGAGTTCGAAACATGTGTTCTATAATCACGAACGCCTTCTACGTTATTTTGAAAGAAGAGAATATGTCCAGTGAAATTGTAAATTGAAATTGTTTTGAACTTTTTTCTTCATGCTATAATTAACTTTTATATTATTCCAATCGATAGGCCTAATGTTGTTTTTAGTGGCCTTTGAGTCAGCATTGCTGTTATAGAGTCATCCTTATTAAAATAAAGTACTTACTATTTCTTGTTATTATAATATGATATGTCGATTGACAATAGAACAATTGGTGGTACACATGGCAATCCTGCAAGAAGTAAATTAACATAGACCATGTTATGTGTTGTACGTATTAGTACCGTATGCGTTCTTGAATATGTTGTTTTGTAAGGGATAAACTATTGCAAAGTCATATTTTGTTTTATTCGGTTATTTATATATCGCTTTTCTTTGTAGATACGAAGCGTTTCTGTACAGGTCATTGGGAAAACATGCTGAAGTGTTGCTGATGTAATCAGCACAGAAGCAAGCAGCCCCCAGGGTAGACAGAAGCATTGAAGATGAAGTTGGAACCTGACCTGATGGATTAGGCCAAAGGTTATTTTTACAACAACAGTTTTAACCAAATGACTAACATGTACGGGTTTAGTCCACTACTTTATACCCTAAAGTTAACAAGTCGAAAATTGGAGTGGACAACTATATCTTACCCCAAGCTAAAGTCGATGATATCAACATAAAATGCGATTTCCTAGCGTCGAACACCTGTATAATGTAAAGGTACATATTGGTTGCTTCCACGGCTGTCCAAGCAACAGATGTCAGCAATAAGTAGTGTAACAACACAGCAACCGTTTTACATCCTGCTGTTCCGGGATTGGCTGTATCAACGCCGAAAATGAACGTGGTATACAAACAAATCAGAGACACACACAGGCTCACCATGATTTTCTGAGGCTGACGTTTTCGTAGAGAACTGTTGAAAAATAATTTGATTAATAAATAATTAAATAATATTGTAGAATAACACTCTCAGTTGATTTATAAAATATGATTATCTATTTTATATTATTTAAGTCTTTTCTTAATGTTGTGGACTGGAATAATGCTTTGCCGTGTTCCCTATTGTTTTGCTTTTGTATGGATCGCTGCATCTGCTTCCGCGTACGTGTTAGGCCTAGTTCAGACTAGGTGGATAAACCCGGCACAACCGACCTAGAAAAATCAAATAGATGACTCAAACAAAAAGTACCAAGCTGTCAGAAACTTCGACTTACGGTATTGAAAGAATAGTGACTACAGTCAATATCAAGCATGCAATTGACACTCCACAGCCGATATAGGTCACCAAATCTAGAAATATGTCAACTCCAGGCGGAATTTCATTAGGAAACTGCAAAATAAAAATCGATACATATCATATGTATAATATATAAATAGTATTTAAGTATATATATATATAATGAAATGTATACATAATATATAGTTATGTGTATAATTTTATTACAATATAGACTTTATCATACGCATGTCGTTTGCCTAATTTTTTATCTAGATAGTATGTACGGTAGCATATAGTATATAAACACTTATCTATTTGTATACATGTATAAATCATATATAGCTAATATATATAAGTTAATACATTATAAATAATAAATAAAGGAGAACTCACAAACAAGACAGCAAAGTTTGTTAGATGTGTACAATGACACGTTACACTGCCCTCATCGCCTGCATCGATAAGTTCACAGCCTTCAATTGACCAATTACCATTTCCATCTAAGGTTGCATTCCAGAAAACACAAGAAACATTGCTGTTTGAGTAGGACTGCGGAAAGAAGCACACCAAGCAATACCAATAAGACTAGTATAATTATAATGCATAATAATACTGTACTACTTTTTTTGGTAGAGCCACCACCACTTCGAACCATTCAAGGCAGGGCGTTTATTTGAAAAAATACTGTGTAATTATAATATTTTTTTTAAAACGTCATGGATCACAAGATGTTAGCCCATAAATTGTTATTATTATTATTATAGTCTTTATGCATTTTAATTTATGATGTTTACTCTTTCAATTGTGTTTGGTTTCATGTTTTTTAATTGTCTTTGCTAGTTATGTTTATTTTGTGGAAAATAATTAAGGTCCTCCCTTCATGCATGGGGCGCATGGGCAGTGTAAGAAAAATGAATATTACATAGCCAGTCATTCATTATAGACAGGCCTATTTGAATTCATGTCTGGATAGCTCGAAATTGTCTTTTTAACATCAAAATATTACTATGTTAAATGTAGTTAATTCATTATTGTAATTGTTTTATAAATTGTACAAGTGTTTATTAGGGTGGACCTTTGTGTGCCTCGCATGACCCGCACTGTTGGTACACTTCCCGCATGAATTACCATCATGGCTCGCATGAACTGCATGCCTCGCTGACTAGCTCGCTGGCAACCCTCGTATTGGATCGCTTTAAATTACGGTAGACAAAAACAACAACGTGTCTTCGATGATATATTTGAGGCATTTCGTCAATAAATCATTGTTTTAAACTGGTCATCCGGTTTACAGAAGGTGATTTTATTGTTCCAGACTTAAGAATTCGGCCGGAATTTGGAATTGGGAGATCCGGTTTTCAGAAAGGATTTTAATACAGTAAGAATAGGAATGATTTTGCGTCCGGTTTTGCATGACATCCGGTTTTCTGGGTGGTCGGTATTGGGAGAGTTGACTGTACTGTACAGAATTATTATGCATAACAACTAACCTGTATTTTGATGTCTAGTAAGAGTAAAACATAAAACTTACTTCTGGTACATTGAACACCAGTTCAACTGGGTTTTGGAACACCTGCGGAAGACTTTTGTTATAAATGGTAGCTGACATAATCACACTAGAGAGATTCCGTTCAGCTGTACCCGACTGGAACAGGTTTGGGTTGTAAAACGAAGTAAAACTGATGTTCGTCCGGCCCTCTGTGTTTATAAAGAGATTACAAAACTATACTTATACATTTAGAAAATGTCCACATAGGCATATGAAATTTTAAAATGTTGTCGAAAGACCAGCGTAGCAGCATTAGCAGCAGTAGCAGAAGCAGTAGTAGTAGTAGTAGTAGTGCAAAATGGATTTATAAGTATATCAACAAACCATATGATGTTAGCAGATCCTTCGGAAGTGTGAAAGACTGATTCTTGGCGTTTACTAAACATACTTCATCAAAACATACGTCAGGCTTCTTGCCTTCATTTACTACGAATACAACATCAGAATGAAGATTTGAATCAAAACTTAAAGTCCGCACAGACACTGTATCTTCATCCTGGGTGTAATTCTGACCATCAGTAGCGGCGGTGCTAATTTGCTGCTCGAATGACTCAAGGATTAAAGCTGTTGTTTCAGGTGGTATATCTGACAAATCAGAGGCAATTACAGCATCCACTGTACCGACGATTGCATTTGTGACCTACAGTACAACGAAAAGTTTGATTAAATGATGACAAATGCAGCCAAGCTAATATTATTCCAATGGTAAATATTATTCCAAAGCTGTGATTCATGGAATACAGTGCTTCACTTTTAAATGACTTAACTTCAACTTTTAATCAATTAGGCCTAAATTAATCAATATCATATATTGAAAAAATAGATGTGTATAAGAGACAGTATATATATATATATATATATATAAAGCTGGTTTTGTGTAGTCTATCCAAATGATTTTTCATTAAAAAAATATCGATCGTTTATAAAGTATGTTTTATCACTTTTACTTGCATTTTCGTTTGGTGATTCAATGTTGACAATAGTGTCCATTGCATTTGAGACTTCTTGTACATCAGCTGGTTTCAGTTCTGCCTTCTCTGCAATTTCTTCGAGTTCTATTGCTACCTCTTCAACATTTTCATCATTAACGTTCTAAAAATTGACAAGAATATATGATTATGGTCTAGTATTCTTGACAGATTTAGTATAATTACCAATTTGCAATAAATATAAATCTAGTGGCTCTAACAAGTAGATAATACACATTATTTTGTATTCAGTATTTATTATAACATCTTTAGTACATAGACGGAGATTGGAATTTATTTATCACTTAATGGCAAAACAATAGCAATGGGTAGGATAATCTGGTAAGAGGTCTAGAGGGAAAATTTGGGGCAAATGCCACAAAAATAGAGGTGATAATGTCCACAAAACAAGGTAACAGATTGTGAAATAAGATGAAGGTGATGATGGCTATTTTAAAGATAATATATTTCATTGTTCATTAATAAAAATTAGTTGAATATTTTTAATGCTTTTCCTACGTACCTTAGTAAGGTTCGCAATTTCCTCTGATAAGACAGTTTCTAGGACAATATAAAACAATGGAATATAATTCTAACGATGTATTAATTAAACCTCAACTAATTAATAATAATAATAATAATGATACTCCCACTAATAATAATAACTAGAACACACTCTGAGAATATATACACTTTTGCATGTATCTTTTGCTTTAAAAAAGATAATGAAAATGCTATCTTCTAGAAAGTTTCAATCAGATCACTTTATCAGTTTTTGAGATGTCTGTCTGGGATATTTCTTTTTAAATGTTCCTCATATCCACAAATTACAACAGATTGTCACCAATATTGAATTCATTCTGCCTTGGACTAGGAATAAAAGGTTATTCATTTATATTGCGCAAAATACGAGAGTCTCCATTCTTAAGGTTTCATTCAGACTCATAAAGTTTCATACACAGATCAGTAAATCAGTGTTTGAGCTGAGATATCTAGTGCTGCGTGTTTTTAAATGGTCCCCAATCCAGATTGTCACCAAAATAAAAGGAACGTTCCATTTATTGTCAGAAATCATCTGACGCGTGGACACCTAAGACTGTAGGCAGGAGGCTGCTATCAAAAGGTCAAACACATACACACACAGACACACAAACAAAATCCGATGAAAATACAACCTCTTTGCGAAGGTAATAATATTGGTCGATCACACTGTCTTATTGCTCTGTATATAAAAAAGGGAGAACGTAATAAAACTGTAACTATATTTTACATGTTCAAACTCACCGACAGTTATATAAAAAGAGCAGCTAACCTCTTGTTCAACAGAATATATGGCAGTGCATGTGACTTTTGTAATTGATCCAATTGGATACTTATCACCCGGATTGTTTGTGCAGTTAACCGCTGGAAGTGGTGGTGATTCATCATCACTCGCGATTGGTACTTCCCAATCTGGTGAAGTATCCGTAGATGATATGTCACTGGGGCATACGATTGTTGGTGGAGTGTTACCTGATAAAACATTATTTTATATCAACTTATTTGATTATTATTCATGAAAGAATTAACTCATAATGTATTTACTTCATTCTTATTATACATTATATTGCACATATATTTTTTTAAAGGATAAGCACTAACCTACTGTTGTCTCATGTGCAGAAAATTTAGACCGAGTTGTGATCCTTGAATATTCTTCGGTAGAAGATTGGATAATTGACTTAGTTGTTGGCAGATCGGCGGTTATATTGTAATGTGTGGTAGTTGGTGCTGATGTAGTTGCCGTTTCAGTAGACGTTATATCCTTTGTTGCAATGTTAAGTATCGTAGAATAAGTGGATGTGAAACGTGACTGTAAAGTTGCATTGTGTGTCAACAATTCTGAAGTTTGAATGTGTGTTGTGATATTTGTTCGTGTCGCTGTTGTAGTAGTGTTATGTTCATAGCCAACTGTGAGTGGTGTCGTAGTAGGCCTAAGTGATGTACTGACTTGATTCTGTGTGGTAGTATGCTCAGTATCTCCATTCTCTGTTGTAACAATTGTTGTAGTGACGTCAGACTGTGGCGCACTGGCAGTGAGGAGTTCAGAACTTGAATTTGTCGTCGCAATGTGAGGTGTTGTAGTAGTGGCAATATCAGAACTATTTTGAGCAAGAACTGTTGTAGTGTTATGTTCATAAATTACGGTGTTCTTTGAGGTGGTGAATCTCGGCTGAGTTGTAATAGCCGAATAAGTCGATAAACCGTCTGAATCAGTAGTGTAATCCGTTTCAAGTTTGGTTGTGCCTGGTAGTCCGGTAGATGCTGAATCTAAAATATAACATGAATAAAATTATTGTAATAAAATAAAAGAATTCGCTGAATATCGTTGGATTTAGCCATTCTGTTCTTTTGTATGGACATGCACATATCTTACATGGATGACATTTTTGAAGACAAATATATTTCTCCAGGAAACCCATAGAAAAGGTACTACATGTAAACATCATTATGTTTTCATCATCATTGAAGAAAACATACAACATAGAAATAATTAAGTAAATATATTTTTCATTGATTTAAATTAATTTCAATTAGGAAAAAAGACTGACCGTTTGGTGTTTTCTTGGTATATATTGACGATGACGTAAACTTTATAGAAACCGAAGCATCATTAAATGGTGTTGAGACAGTCTTATAGGAATCTGCAGTGCTCAAAATCGTAGTTGGTATTCTAATGCCAGAATCTGTCGTGATCAGACCGTTTGTTATTGCTGAGGTTTTGATATTGTTCGTTGATGGTAGCTCTGTTGTATGAAATACCGGCTTTACCGTTGTGGCGTCTCCCGTTGGTATAGCAGATTTAATGAGGGTAGGTGAGGTGATTGGAATCTGTGTTGTTGTTGTTGTGTTTGGTGTTCGATTAGTTAATGTAGAAGTATCAAGATTTCCTGTATTACCTGCCAGTGTTTCTGTTGTGGCATTTGTTTGAGTCATTGTAATAGTGTGTTTATGTCCATAATCAACAGTATTTGGTAATGAAGTAGACCTAGGTGATCTAAACTGAGTTGTGATCTTTGTATTTTGTTCAGTAGTCGATCTGAAATTTGACGCAGTATTTGCCAGATGGGAGGTTTTATTGTAATGTGTAACAGGGGTGGGTGAGGTGATTGGAATCTGTGTTGTTGTTGTTGTGTTTGGTGTTCGATTAGTTAATGTAGAAGTATCAAGATTTCCCGTATTACCTGCCAGTGTTTCTGTTGTGGCATTTGTTTGAGTCATTGTAATAGTGTGTTTATGTCCATAATCAACAGTATTTGGTACTGAAGTAGACCTAGGTGATCTAGACTGAGTTGTGATCTTTGTATTTTGTTCAGTAGTCGATCTGAAATTTGACGCAGTATTTGCCAGATGGGAGGTTTCATTGTAATGTGTAATAGTTGGTGCTGACGCAGTTGCCATTTCAGTAGACGTTATATCCTTTGTTGCAATGGTAGGAATCGTAGAATAAGTGGATGTGAAACGTGACTGTAAAGTTGCATTGTGAGTCGAAAATTCCAAAGTTCGAATGTGTGTTGTGACTTTTGTTTGAGAAGCTGTTGCAGTATTGTTACGTCCATAGCCAACAGTAATTGGTATCGTTTTTATCATTGGAGAAAAAAATAACAAAGAAATAATTAAATATAATTATTATTTATTGATTTACATTGATTTCACTAAATGAAAAAGTTTACCATGCAGACACACAATATACGGCCTATGCTCGACAAGATATTTTACAGCCTTTAGACTTTACAATCCCATAGGCTAGAAAATCATTAATTGCATTCGGTGATTTCAACAACTAAAAAACAGTGGAATTAAATGAATTAAAATTTGAATGCTTAACATACCGACAATAATTTGTACTTACAATTAAGCAATAACATTGTCCCTTTATTGCTTAGCTTTCCTTCATCCCCAATGTAAGCTGCATTCTCCATTCGACATTGATAATCTCCTTCATCCATTTTATTCACTCTGCTGATCTCTAATGTTGTATTTGACTGGGGATACTTCTCACTATCAGACACGCCAAGTATGCTGCAATCTTTGATCCATGTGATATTTATAGGTGTTGGAAAACCATCAGGTAAAGGACATGTGAATGCCATAGTTTCATTTTCATTAACACTTCTCTGTTTTGGTACCAAATGTGGTGTCTCAATATCTATAATAAATATTCAAATCACCATACTATGTAAGTGAAAGCCCATTTTTAGGTATAAGCCCACCACTTAACATATTTTATTTCCAAAGAGTATAAAACTACAAGAGGTCCCACTGCCATGATTTTGTATGCAGGCAATGGAACGTTAAAAAAAAGTACTACTACGAAATAGGGGGCGCCCTATTCGAATTCGAAGAGTTCGAAACTCGAACATGCACGCAGCACACACGTCACGCGTCTGCTAAGGCCACGCCCCTTTTGGGTAGTACTTTTTGAAATAGGATCGCGTTCCAAAGAATCCCAGGCATTGGGACCTCTTGCAGTTTTATACTCTTTGCTATTATTTACGGGTGAGAACAAATATATAGGGCTACTTCTACAACAACACCACCACATGCTTCAACTGACTCATGGTTTTAAAGTTTCAGAATCAAGTTACAAAAGTGATACTATTTCATTTCAGTTTTTCCTTGGCACGTAGTAGTGGTTTGGTGCAGCGACAATGGTTTTGGTTTTATGCAATGTTATAAAATAATATTGGTTTAATCTAATGACCACGGTAATTATAATGTGAAACGCAAAGAGACTACTATTATTTTGGACAGTTTACGGGACTGCGTCAGCAGTGGTGCCCGCAGCCCCTGGAACATAAAACAAATTACATTTAAAATTTATTGAAATTAAGAATTATCAGCACTTATAAAAATATATAAATGTGCAAGCATGTTTTAGTATAATTATAATGTAAAAAGCAGGAGCAGCTAGAAGGAAACGTTGGGAGTGCAAGCAGAAGTGGCGTAAAACTCTCAGTGACTGTGATCGTATTTACTATCTTGAGCAGAATAAGATCGTGAAGGATATAGTTGTTCAATCTAATAAAACTGATAATAAAACTGATAATAATAATAATAATAATAATAATAATAATAATAATAATAATAATAATAATTATTATTATTATTATATTATTATTATTATTATTATTATTATCATTATTATTTTTCTAAAGGACGTCAATGTAGTTAATGTTTCGAGTGTCTTTGCTGAATACTGTAGTATTTGTGAGGAATTATTCTGGAGCGTGATCAAGGGTAGATCCAGAATGTTTCAAACGGGGGGGGGGGCGCAAAACAGTTTCAGACAGGCAAACCATTGGTTTCGGACATCCTCGGTTCTGAGTTCAAGGTCGATTTCGTTGCTCTGGAGGTGAGCTCAAGGGGGTTCATCTCTGATGACAACAATAAACGCCTTAAAACTATCCATAATATCTGTCCAATATTCCTTAAGCCTTTGGAAAACAAAATTTCAAAAGTTGCCTTAGTTTTAATCTTAATACATTTATGACGCCAGAGATGAACCAACCTGGATAAATCACCTCTATTCAAGTTCTAGATTCGTTGTTTCCCTGCTTTTTAGGAACGTCTTGTCCACGTTTTACTGTTGACATTTTTATCTCTTACAGTACTGAATTTTTTTTTATCTCTTACAGTACTGACATTTTGTAGGATATTGTATTGATGTAGTAATAATTTGCATTTGTCATTTTTATTGATTGATTCTTTATTGTACTGTTTTATCTTTGTATAAATGGGGTTTAATGTATATATATATATATGTATATATATATATATGTAGGCCTATATATATTATACATAATATATATGTGTGTGTGTGTGTTTTCAAAATAGATGTCCGTATTTATAACATCTAAAGTCTGATCATTGTTCTTAAACGGATTTAAGTAACTGAATTAAAGTTCATTAATAAAGTAAAATCTTTAAATGTATATTACCTTACTATGATTAATTTTTAACTAATTGTTAAGCACAATTTTTAAGTTACTTTTTAGCTCTTTAAGTTGTATTTATACATAGGCCTGTGTTCTGTTTTTTTTAGGTTATGTGTCTTTATCGAGCTTGTCAACAAAACTTAAACATCACAATAATATGACAATGTAATAGTACTTACAGTAGACTGTTAAATTTGATAAATCTTCAAGGTCCACTTTATGTGTAGTTACTCTACACAGATAGTAACCTGTATCATTTTTTTCAACATTAGATATCTTAAAGTCTCCATTATCACTTAAGCTGTATCTACCGTTGGTTCTTGTGCTTCCATTAGTAGTATATATTATTTGTTCACCCTTTTCACCATTGACATTACTTTTGTACCACTTTATAATCACTAAATTATCATCAGGCCCAATTTTGAATGCACACTTCATTGTTGCATTTTCACCAAATTTTGCTGTAGCATGATCTACTGTCACGAATCTATTTTCAGCAAAGATACCTGGAAATACAAACAAACCGTCGACATTAGATATAGGCCTAATAAGATCTACTTATACCCAACTGATCTCAACCGAAACACGGATCTAGGCTGAGCAAAAAATCCTGACATGATGTCTGCGATGAGATATAATACTAAAAAAAATATGACTTACATGACGGCAATAACAGGTAAATAATGACTGATTGAAACAGAAGGCCGCCATTTGAGTGTAGTAATAGCTCACAAACCCGCATCATAAAAAGTTATCAGTATTAACCAGCAAACCAAAGTGCGATATGTTTGCGATCTGTATCGTAAATGATTATGTCAGGGGAAGCTGCTCGTTGACTAATAAATATGACATATGGATAAGATTCAAATTAAACTGATAAATCTCTGCAGTCTACATCCTTGTTGAGCCTACATTCAATTAATTTACCAACGAAACAAATGTTTTTTGTCGAAAAAATTTATAAATAATTTTAAGTCTGACGTTTTATGAGCTTATTTATTCAGTTGTGAAGCAAAGCTTAGTGATAAAAGAATGCTTGTACAGTATCAATCACGATGATGCATCTTTAGTATATAAATTTAGCAGTATAAGAAAACTGAAGTTAGTTATTATATTAATCATAATACAGTACCATAAATTTACTATTTACAGGGGCGGATACAGGATTTA